TGCAATAACTCGTGTTTAGCTTGTATTCGAACATAAAAAAGGACTATTTCTACACGTTTTGAAAATGACATAAATCTACCGTGACTCTTCCAGGGACCAGAGGGATGGCTGCCTCTTCTTTGTTGCGCTCGGCTTCATCATAGGAGGGCAAAGTGGTGGCCACACTGTAGGACGGAGGGTTTGGAAATCTTGCTCCATCTTCCTTGTATTCAAAGAAAGCTGTGGAGGGAACAAGCTCATTACTTTTCATCCAGGTCTGGTCTCAAAACAATGGTTTTTATATATGATTAATAAAATCCTGAGCATAGAAGACATTGTACACAAATAAAAATGCTCTTGTAAAGTGTAAACTTTTTACACTTTACATTGTTTTGTGAAGTTGTTTAACGATATAAAAGGTGAAAATGTCATCAACTATACATGAATATTAATGAATATTAATAATATTTATTGCAGTTAGATGGCAGTTTCACTGTTAACTGTGATGTTTGACCCAAAAACCTGGTTTAAGAGTTTAGAGACCATCGTCAACTACAGAAAGTGTTAATGTTTCATCACCGTCACCATAAAGCTGGATTCACAAACAATATATCAATTTAAAAAAAAAAAAAAGTACAAATTTTAGTCTCAAATGATAAAACATGAGTTTGCCTGTCATTTGTGATTTTGGCACATATTCATAAACAAAATAAACATTTATCACCAGTTTGTGTCTGTTATCTCCACTTACAGACACTAATAAACAGTTATGGACAATTAAATTTAAAGTCAGAAGATTTAGATTCTAACATGGAATTCAATTTAAAAATGCTGATAACTGCAGAACTGAAATTATACGATGTCGACTGTTTTAACCGCTGTTACGAAGGTTTGATTGCCGACAGACAAGAATCTAGTTTCACTTCCTTCACGTAGAAAAGCAGCAGCAGAGAACGAAGCAGACCAGGGATGAGTTACAGCAGGAAGAAAGTCATTTGTAGTATCTGTCTCCATTACTGTTTATGTTCTGTCCCATACAAGCCAGGACTTTTATCTGGGTCATTTGGTAGACATCCAGAATTCTCCTTTGGGTTGTTCAAACACACACACAGCATTGGACTAGATCAATATACTCACCCAAGAAGAGCTCACAGCTACACCCACTTATGCAACGTGTTGACCTCTGCCCTCTTAAGAAGGGAGATTACAAACATCAGGCTTTTCTAAAAGGCCTCACACAAAAGCTTTCTCCCTCTACATTATTCATTCAGAGGCTAACGGTGCTGAACAAGCCGGAGCAGAAGACTGACACAACTATGTACATGTATTCAAGTACTGTACTTCAGTGCACGAGTTATGAAGCATTGGTACCTTAATTCATTGTGGGAGATTTCAGTGGGGAATACTGTGTATTTACCCTTGTTTTTACATTCAACTGATTTTTGATTCTACAAGATTCTGGATACAAAACACATGATGAACTCATAATTTTAAAAGGCACCGTTAAGAGTTTACAGAAGTGAGCGGCAGCTTCAACATTAAAACACTCCATACAGGTTGAGGCTGTGATCATATAGGATTTGCTCATAGCTATGAGAGAAGGTTCCTACTTTGTGAAAATAATGTGACTGTGGAAAGAACTATTCTTTATGTTTACTTTTGCTTCTTAGGCAATAGACACATTTCACTGCAAGTGCTTCTATACTCCTATTTAGTTGATTTTAAATGCGAGAATGGGTATTCATGGGTTTGAATATTACTCCCACTTCTAAAATGTGTTTGTTCTGAGTTAATTGTCTGAGTGTAATGGAGACGTGAAGGCTCCTAACCTGCATTCGCTGCAGCGATGCTGCTGTAGGGAGGCGGTGCGTCCTGGGCAGGTCCCTCCTGGGACGGCTGGGTCGGCTCCTCCTCATTCACCAGCTGAAGAAATGTTAATAAAAAGGACAACGCTTAAAATGGCAAGCTCTAGGAAAACTGTTCTTGTTGGATGTAAATAATATGATGCACAATAGAGAGAAGGCCTGAGGTGCTATTAGGGAAACATCCTAAAACTGTGCAGACTCCTCTGAGATTAACAACGACCAGTATCACTGATGCTGCACGTGTTTAATATGCTGTGTAACAAGCGGTTATAACAGACGTATGCTGTCATTACTTTAACCAAACAATAACTGTTCCATCAGTGACACAGTGATCTCTGTTAAATCTACAATTAAACTATGACCTGTGCACTCCTGATCTCACACATTAATATATGTCAATAAATGAGCAGGTTTCGTGCTAGTGTTTGAGGTAATACTGATACGCAGCACCGTCAGGTGAGGTTAATATGGTCTAGGTTTACGGGTAGGCTAAGTTACACTAGACAGCATTCATGATTTAGCCAGCTAATACTTGCTAACGTTATGAGAACTAACTAAGCGGCTAAATGAAATTGGGTCACACAGGCTTCAAATTATATGTGTAGAAATTTGTTTATTTCAGTGTGAGACATTTGTTTTCATATAAACTTAAGACAGGTATCGCTAACTCAGGCCTGCCCCTTAACAAATGTCGGCTGAGCTCGTTGTTTTCCTGAGTGACAGGCTAATGTTGACTAGGTAATGTTACTGTTAGCTAGCAGCTAACGCTAGCTGTTAGCTAACCACATATTACGGTGCTAGCGATCCTTTTACATACCTCTTGATATCTAACGTTGCCGTTTTGTTCTGCCATTGTGGAAGAAGAGCGGAAATATTTGAAACGTCCTCTTCCCACTTCAAACGTGAAGATGTGTTGAGTAAAAGGAATCTCGCCAATTCAGTAGCAATGGTATGGTTGCCTCTTACTCGGCCATCTCCTTCCTTATCCTCCTCCGATCTTGAAGCCCGGACGCTCCCACGATGGCATGACCCGCCCTACTCTGCCTCTGATTGGATAGAAACAAGTACTTGTTGCTTTGATTGGTTAGGTTTAGGCACGAGGAGTGGGATTGGTCAAGGTTGGGGTAAGAATGTCGGGCTAAGCCAATCAGAGGCCGAGTAGGGCGGGTTATGCCTTCGCCATATTTATTTGACGGTGCCTTCAAGTGCTGTCAGAATATTCTTTTAAAGGTTGCAATACCGCAATGTAAATTATAGCCAGTCACAAGTAGAAGTAATATATTAAAAACTTTATTATTAGCTAAATGTACTCAAAGTGTAGAAATCTATTTATCTTTGGGTAATTCATTCATGATCACAGATTTGTTTATAATATATATGTAGTGGGACATTACTGTATGCTTGAAGAGCCGATAAATAAGTAGAAAATCATAATGCTCCAATAAAAAAGAAAGAGCATTGAAATTGTACAAAAGTATAGTACTTGTCTGAGTAAATGCACTTAGTTTTAATTTATTCCATTATTTCTAGTACAGATCTAGAAAATAATACTTACAAGGAGCACCTAAAGGCCACATTAGTTGTTCCGTATTGTCATGTGACAAGAAAAACAGAACGAATACCACATTATCCACAATCAAAGACGATACAGAGATTAAAAATGAATTGCACTTTATTAAAAAGAACAAATGCAAATCAAAGCTGTTTGAACAATCACATGAAAACCTGAATAGCCTGCACAATAAGCACGTGATTATTTATACAAGATTTATTTGAGGTCAACTCCAAGCACCGCTTGATGTTCACCATCTCAATCAGAAGAAAAAAGTAATCATTGGAGTGTTACAGGGACAGTACATCCCAAAATATAAAACATAGCGCACAAAAATAGTTTTGTAAAACTCAAACAGCACTGTCTTATTCCAGAAATTATGGCCCGCTTACTCAAGATAATCCACAGATCTAGATTATTGTGACCAGTTTCATGATAGAACTATTGATAAATAGCGCAGCTTAAGGGGTAAGAGGAAAAGACTATTTTTGATTCTGGGCTGAACTGTCTTTTTGAAAAAATGCCTCATGAATCAACAAAGTTTGTACAAGATATCCTCAGTTCCTCTTTGACAGTGAGGGAGGTGGCTCCACCAGCTTGTTGTGAACATGCATCATCCCTAAAGAAAGAGCAAGAATCAGCATATGTTCATTGCACATATTATATAAGGGAAAATATAGTGAAAATATAGGAGTTTAAGCACTGTAGCTTTGCGATTTAGTCTCACCTTTGAAGTACTTTACGGTTTTGACCCGCAGCTCCAGGGTGGCGTCTTCATCACATACAAAAACTGTCTGTGGGTGCTGCTGGAAAGCAGACACGGTCCACATGTGATTGACACCTTCCTCTATTGCTTTGTATAAAGCAAATGCCTTGTGTGCTCCAGTGATGAGAATCATGACCTGAGAAGAAATTGAAAATGTGACCTGTGGTCTACGCGATTGAGCAACAGCAACCTGCGATTGGTGGTTGTTTTTCAGCACCATCAGGAAGATTACGAGGTCAATGAGCAATGCACTGTACTGCAAACTCAAAATACGGAGAGAAAAGGATCGTTCATAACAAATGGTATATTAAATCATCTCAGCGTCTAACCTCTTTTGCGTCCATGACTGTGCCCACTCCCACAGTCAGTGACATGGTGGGCACCTTCGAGAGATCTCCATCAAAGAATCGAGCATTAGCGATGATGGTGTCCTTTGCCAGGGTCTTCACCCTCGTCCTGGAAGCCAGGCTTGAACCAGGTTCATTGAAGGCAATGTGGCCATCTGGTCCAATACCTGCCAGGACAGGAGGAGTATTTTGAATTATTGTCGCTACTTCAACGATGACTGCAAAGTCACTCGACATCAAAATGTGAAAATCTGAACTGTGCAGCTGGTGATGACATATTCATGATCAGCACTGTGACCTCCTGACCTCCGACAAAGAGCTCGATCCCCCCAGCAGCTGTTATCTTGTCCTCAAAGGCTGCACACTCTGCTTGCAGGTCAGCAGCGTTGCCGTCTAGGATGTGGGTGTTCTCTGCTTTTATGTCTATGTGCTTGAAGAAGTGATTCCACATGAAGGAGTGGTAGCTCTCCGGGTGATCTCTGGGAAGTCCTATACAGGATTTGATGTCAGTTTCTAATCCAAGACCACAGCTTGAAATAATTCCTCAATGTGGAAGCATTATGCGCGTGTGGAGAAAAAAGGATACAGACTTACCTACATATTCATCCATGTTGAAAGTTTTTACATACTGGAACGAGATTTGGCCCATCTTGTAGTACTCAATGAGTTTCTTGTAACAACCCATGGGGGTGCTTCCTGAAGACAGGCAGAAGCTTAGCAAAAGTAACAGAGTGGAAAAGTACCGTACTTTCGTGGGCATCTGTACTTAAGTCTTTCAGTTTCCTTTCCTTAAACTTGTATGTTATTCACCAGAATAATGCAGCTGTACTTGCTTTGTGCAATATTTACAGTTTACGTGCAAAAACATTATTTACTGTTTAATTTTAAACTCCAAATTTGCATGGAAAAGACAAGCTAAAACATTTAGACTGCACTTACAGGTTCATGCAATACTATTTTAACTGTCTACAGGAATATAGGTACATTTAATTTTTTATACAAGCTAATATTTAATACCTGGTCACATTTAAGTAAAATGTGTACATTTTTCCATTCATGGAGTAAAGTACATTCTCAAACAAATAAACCCAACTGTGCTGCCAGGTCCTACTCACCTGTGGGAAGCCCCAGGGTGAAATACCTGTCCGGGCCAGGTGTGAACAATAAAATCTTGTTTCTGATGTACTTTGCAGCCCACTCGCTTGCCTCGTCGTAGTCATTGAGGATGATTAGCTTCATCGTCCTGAGGAAACAAAAACAAGAAAAGAGGAACGGGTTGCTTGTCTGAAGGAGTTCAATCTCGAAGTAATACCAGACAAAAACACACCTTAGTCAAACTTTGGACTCAAGATAATCACACTATCCCGTGACAATAAAGTCACTGTTAATGCAGAGGTTGCTCAACAAGCTGCCAAAAAGTCATCTTTGACGACTGACAAAAATGTTTTACCGTAGAGTAAATTGTGCCCCAACAATACACAAATCAAAATGACAAAAACTGTAATAGTTTACACTTTACCTTGTAGAGTTAACGTTAACTGTAGCTTTTACTCGCAGCAGACAGACTCCAGATGGATCACGTGATTGCTGCTGGAGGACGCAGAGCGCCCACTGCGGAGGTGACGTCATCAGCTAATGTTAGCTAGAGAGCCAACCGTTAGCTAAGTAGCTCGTTTGAGATGAGGGAGTGACAGCTCAAAGTCCTTTATTCATAATTACACGTCCCGGAGAGCTCTTATAGAGGCCGAAAAGTGCTTTTTTTTTTTCTTTCTAAAAATACAAGTGTTTTTACACGTAAATTAGACTGCAGCAGAACATATAAGATGCACATTGTGAGTAATGCCTCGTAACCTAACAATTATTGATTCTAACTCAAGTAAAATCACTATTTCACCCATGAACAAGCTTTACATCATTTCAAAAACTAGCAAGTTAATGCTATAACAAATTTACGTTAATTGAGATTGGACTTGATTTAACCAAAGAAAAGCAAGATTTGTAACTTTACCAATGTTTGCTTGAAAAAGCAGAACAATTGTATAGACTTGGAGTCTAAAAATCCATCAGAATCAGTCCTAAAAAATATACATGTTTAGTGTGCAATGTAAACTCCTGCTCATGCCAGCCAACCCCCCAGATTCCCAGAAATATGACCAAAGACATGACCGGTGTCCTCACTTGAAGAGGGACAGAAGCCTTCGTGAAGCCGTGGGAATCTTTGGCCAAAGAAAGAAAGATCGTACAAGTGATTTTCAATAACTTTATTAAAACCATATTGTGACACAGACCAGAACACTTACAGGGCACACAACAGAAATAAATACCATTATGTGTACAGCGCTCATTGTCAAACAGGCTTATTGCGGCTGGCTTTAGATTTATGTTATCCAGAAAGAGAGAGGGCATGCTATGTCATCAGACAGAGTTACCACTGCTGGTCTCAGTGTGCTAATCACCCTGCCTGCTTTTGACTGTGTAGTGCAGTTTCTGGAACATTTTACCTGCTCTGATATACACCCAGGCTGCATCTCAATCTGAAACAACCAGCTCCCGTTCAGCTTTGCTTAGCGGGGCGTTGGGCTGCTTTAATCGAGGTCCATGTCAGGCTTGGTTTCTGTGGTTTCTGAGCTGGGGTTGCCCGTGTTCTCGGCCGTTTCTCCCTGGGCTTTCTCCTGTCCATTTTCGGGCCCATTCTGCTCTGCGGGAGCATCCTCCTTGGGAAGCTCCACCTTGGGCTTGGGCTTGGTCACGATGAAGTTGCAAGCGGAGAACAGCTCCTGGAAAATGACACAAAAAGGGTATGACATGTAATCATGTTTTATTAAAAGAAATGCAGTTGTGTGGGAGATCAACGGCCCAAAAGAGTTGCTAATGTGTTCCTGGTGGATAGTTGACCTCAGTGTCTCATGTTGCAACACTAACCTATGGAATAAAGAAGTGCTAGATGTCATGTGCAGAAGTAGTAATAACATCTGAATGAATGCAAGCTATACAAGTAATGAAATCTAGTATTTTACATGTATGTGATTCTCCATTTTAAAAAGACCCTGCATTCTAGTCTCTGTTCTCAGTACTTTGTGACATGTTCTTCTGATCGAGTTGACACTCACCCTTGTTTTTGCTTGAATGTCTTTCACTTTGATGGTCGGATCCATCGTCAAGTTCTGTTTGCCCTGCTGGTTCATGGCGCTGTTCATCCACATCATTGCATCGCTGGCCTGTTTGTCCACTTTCTTGACATCTGCCTCATCTAAATGGTCATACTGCTCCTCCTGGAAATCAAAAGAGAAATAACAAAAAGTTATATTTACCACAGGCATCATTACTTATCTTTGTAATAAAAATGCCTGCATTCTTTTTTTTTTTTTTTTTTTTTTTTTTTTTTAAAGCCTCTAGATTTACCTTCATCTTGTATGCTTCCACAAACTTCATGTACTGCTGGATTTGTTTTCCCAACTCCTCAAATGCTTTTGGTCTCACTTCAGCCTCTGTATACCTCTCCTGGATGGGCTGGCCAAGTTTCTATAGCAAACACAATACACATGTCGGTTAAAGAAGTCGATATGGCAACCCAACAATGGAGGACAAAAAGCCATCACTACAGAAACAATTACCTTTAACTCGACCAGTTTGTCAATGTACACCTGTTTGGATTGGTCCTCTCCATCTTCATACAGCCAGTTTTCAGTGTTCTCCAGCAGTAATGACAGGGCATCTCGGTCCTGAAAATAGAAAAATAATTTCATACCATCATGATTATGAAGACGCTACCTTTGACCCCTTTGACTCGGGACCGTTGTACTCACAGATTTACTGACAAACTTCTCCAGCGTCCCATGCAGCTTGTCCCTCATTTCGTACACATACTCCTCTACGTAATTCTTAGCGTCGTTTCTCTCCTTCTCCAGCTTGTCCTGCATGATCATCTTCCCCTAAAGAGATTCCAAACAGCAACTTTAACCGCTGAACACTTTCGGAACAGATCAAGTAAATAAGGACGGGTGGATTTTGTACCGTGTGTACGTGATGGCTGAAAGTTTAGTTACCTCATTTTCTACAAAAAGATTGAGCATGTCATCAGCTAGCTGCCACTGTGGACTGTTATCAATCGGAAGCTCGATCACTTTTGTTTTGACTTTGGGCTTTTTGGCTTGTGGGGGCTGGTCGGTCTTCTTCTCGCCTTTGGCCTCCTCTGGGGTGATCTGAACGGGTAAAAGAAGAAGCATCGAGATTCAAAACGAGTCAAGACAAGTAATGACCGAGCCAATTAGAAGAACATCTGTACAATTTCATGCAGTCCAGTGCGTTAAATCAAAGTTTAGTTTTACACTGTGTCAATTATTTTTTTAGGACGTAATTATAGGTATTGCATTATGCTGTATATTGTCTTACAAATGTCTAACCCCAATAACATACATGAAGGTGAACATAAGTTTCTCAAAGACAGAATATATTATGGCCGATTGCATCTCAAAAGTTGAGCATGTTACCTCCATCTCCTCGTTCTCGCGGGGCGTCTTCTCTTCTGTTTCCTTCGGACTGTCTCCCTGACCCTGATGCTCATCCTGATCCGTCTGCATCTTGCTCTGCAGAGGAGTAATATATGTCATGTTGGGGGTTTTTTTGTCTCAAAAAATAAGTACAAATAGTAGTTCACATACTAATCTGATGCTCGGTGCAAAAGGATACAAAATAAAAAAGGGACACTTCGTACCTCTCCCTCTTTGTCATTAACCTGCTCTGTTTCCATGGGTTCCTCTGTCTCATCAGACTTCTGCACTTCAACCAGGGAGGCGCTGGACACACTGAAGATACCGTGGATGTTCACCCGCACCTTGACTTTCACCTTGGAGCTCTCCCCAGATGCCTGTGGGATAACCTTCTGGATCATGAACTGACCTGAAGGGAAGGAAAAAAAAAATAAAAAAAATCAACCAGACAAATTTGATTTAAAGCCTCTCTTGATGCCATTAGTCTTGGGAGGTGAGGTTAGTAATTTGCTTTTGCTCATCAAGTTTATCTGCTAAGGAGTTTGTGCACCAAACCAGCGGAGAGTCAATACTGAACAGAAACACAACAAGATGTTTGCTGTGGACTCTTTCTTCCCCGTCAGACATCACGTAGGAAGCGTCAGCTGCTTACCAATAGTAGGATCGGGGTAGGGCAGCTCATTGGCCTTATTGTAGTAGGCCTCCAAAGAAAAAGGCTCTTTCCGGTAGAAGGTCAGCACTTTGGAGAAAGGTGCCGCGTGGTTCACGGGGAATACCTCGCAATCACTGCAAACAATGAATATTTCATAATAATTAAAAAATTCACTAATCAAGATCAGGAACAGAAAAAAAAAAGAAGAATAAATGGATATTAAAACTGTTTTTTTTTTTTGGTTTTTTTTTTTACCTCAGACCTTCTTCTGCAGCAGAATGCCACTTCAAGGAGATGGGATAGTTAACAACATCTGTGATGGAGAACTCACGCACTTTGAAGGCAGGTGACAGGATTGCACACTGTGGAGACACACCCAGGGTTCAATAACAACAAAATCTTTATCTTTTTAATCTGAAAGAAAAAAAAAAACACCCCTTTCATGCCAATAAACAGCAAAGGGAGAGGTGGAGCTTTAAAAGCAAAGTATCGCAGACCTGCAGGGCACATCCTCTGGCCACCGCTTCGTCAGCATTCAGAGTGGTGCTCAACTCCTTCCCGAAGAATTTGCTGATCCTCTCTTTGACGGCTGGGATCCTGGAAGCTCCCCCCACGATCTCTACTGCATAGATGTCTTCCTTTTTCAGTTCTGATGGAACAAACATGCAGTATTATCAGCACACACACACCAAGACATGCACACATTGAAAGTTCTAAAACTGATTGAATAAGAAAAGTACAACACAACTGGGGGAAATTATACTCACTGGTTTGTTCCAGCAGACTCTGCAGTGGAGCCTCAACTCGGGTAAAAATGTCAGCACACATCTCTTCAAACTGGCCCCTTGTGCAGCAGAAAAGGTGGACATGACTTTAAAAACGGTACATTTAAAAGATATCAAAAGCAACAAACTATTTATTGTTTGTCTACCTGTTCAGTTTTCCAGAGACATCAATGTCATTCATGAAGCACTCGATGTTAAGCGGCAGGTCAGAGGCGTTGGCGCTCATCACTCTCTTCAGTTTTTCACACTCCTGGAAAAGCCTCACCAGAGCCCTGGGCTTCGTCTTGACATCAATCTTGTACTTCTTGCCGAATTCCTCACAGAAGTGCTTCACCAGCATCTCATCAAAGGCCATTCCTCCCAGCTCTGGGTCACACGCTGTCGCCAGGACCTGAGAGAGAAAGAAGAGAGAGTTGAAGGAACGAGACAAAGCCTCTGATTGATAATGAATGTCTGTTATGGTGCTTCAGCCACACACACCTTGACTTTGCCCTTGTTAAAGGCACACACTGATGTCTGGAATCCAGAATGGCCCAGGTCCACAAACACCACATTCCTGGGCTTCTCCTCCGGAGCAGGGAGATCCTGTTTATAGATCCCATATGCCAGTGCAACTGGAAGGAAAATTGTTAAATTATTAACGACGTCTACTGGAATCAACATCAAAGTCTGCATTTTGGCAGCCGCAGTCAACAATCAGTAACATGCTCATCCTTACCCATGCCCCCAAAAAAAACTAGTACAGACCTGCAGTCGTCTCATTCATGAGTCTCAGGCAGTTGAGACCGGCGATCTGAGCAGCATCTACTACTGATCTCCTCTCAGCATCCGTGTAGTAGCAGGGAACCTGGTTACAATAGAGAAGCATTTGTAATAGACCTGTTTTTTTTAAATGTAGGCGTTTTCAATTAACCTGCCTGTCACCAAACCTCTGTGGACCAACAACAGATGTGACCAGACAAGACCAGAAAAGGTGGAGTATTTAAGCTTTTCTTATGCTGGCGAGGACTACATATTCTGCCCCTCTACTTATCACGGTCAGCATCAAAAACTGTGCCTTAATATGCAATACTCACAGACACAACACAGTCAGCCACAGGCTTCTTGAGGGCCTGCTCTGCAGTCTCCTTCATCTTGGTCAGCAGCATGGCGGTGACCTGTTCAATGCTGAACACCTTCTCCTCCTCCATGTAGTTCACCTTTAAACATTGTCAGACATGTGGAGATTATTACATCGCTCTAGTTGATTCCTACCATGTCGACTCAGACCGAGTGTTCTGCACAGCAAGCGACTGAATGATCGGCCGAAAGTACCAATGTCTCTCAGTCAGTTGTAAAAGAAACCATTATCGTTCCACTGAATCGTCGAGGCTACATTTCAAACTATTCTTAGGTCAGCCATTATCTTTACTATAACAGACATTTTGACATTATTGTGAAAGTGTGTTTTCTTTGTATCTGTTGTGACAGAAAAATGTAAATTTCAGGTGCACTGCCTTTATAGATTATCAGTCTCTTTATTATCTCTGCCTATTGAGTCACTGTAAAGTAGAAACTAGTTATTGTTATAAACCACAAACCAGCTGAATAAAGACTTGTCTCACTGCTCTGACAGAGCGCCCGGGGAGTGTTTCTTTTCTCTGAAAATGTATTTGGCAGGTTGATAGTTACCTGGCCCAATGATAAAAAGATATAGGAATCATTTCAGTTCTCTTGGAGTGAATATAGAAATGTACAAGGATTATTTTGAAGTATATCCAGTGTTTCTGGGCTCATTACTAAACACTCCATCACATCATTTTGACTGTGAATGTTCCCTGTTCTTTCCTTACCTTGATGCCAGTCGTTCCTGTGGACATTTGTGCAATATCATAGACCAAACAGTTTTTGAGGCGCTGCACGTAGGGATCCGTAAACGCCCTGCCATGAAGCCTCTTGAACCCTTGGACTGTGTTCTTGCAGTTTGTGACGATCTGTGTGGGGGGAAAAAAAGACAAATAACTATTAAATAAACACGTGCACAACTGAATAAATGATGCGTTCCTGACTTGAAAGTGGAAATAACAGGTTCTTGTGTCAGGTTAATTATCAGGTGTCCAGTGTCCCATCTAAACATACCTGGCTTTTGGCAGCAGCGCCGATCGCTCGATTCCGGGGTCCAAAAGAAACAAATGCTCTAAAAACAGAAAACACAATCCAGGTCCGTCTTTAACAAAAAAATGTTGTACAACGATGCAGCTTCCTCACAGGTTTGGTGTAACCAGTAACAAAATGGCACTGACTGATGGCGAGTTAACGTAATAATGTAATTAACGTTTGCAAATAGGTATTCTGTATTGCTTTGATCTTTTAAGTTACGGGTCTGAAAATTAAGTGCAATAAATTAATCAAGCCATTTGACAGGCACGGTACGGCCTCCTCCTATCATGCGCTCATTCATGCCCGCAGCAAAAAAAATAAAAAATATCCATCACCTGACTGAGCAGGTCAATTATTATTCTTTAGGTTATCTTTATCCTGTTATTCTAACAACACACCACAAGAACAATTTCATCACGTGCTGTGGTACAAAGATATATTTATACCCACAATGGTTAGCATTAGCTTTAGCACTCACATGCCGTTTCCTGTTTCGAAATCCGTTAGCAAGCTAACTAGCTACGTAGCAATGGTAGCTACACCACAGATGAAAGAGTGGGATATTTCACATCCGTGTATGCTATCTCGGAGCAGATAATACAACACAAATCAAACAACTGCGTATGTAGTCGTACTTACGGTGTACATCGGTCGCTGTAGTCATTCGCGACAGTTTCAATCCCCCCGGCTCTGGCTACCGCTACGTAGCAGTTCAGGAACCCGACGTCAAATCCGACAACCGACATCTTCGCTAGCTAACCGAACAGTGTAGAGTACAGTAATTGCACGGAAGAACGAGAATATAAGTCAGTGCTAAAGGTGACAGCAGCAGCTACGGTGGGGTTTCAGTCAGCGGACGGTGATACACCCTTGTTCTTGTTCCATGAAGCTGGGTAGCAGCATGCGGTGCGCCGGCTGATGCGTGAGAGCGTTCAGGAATCTTCTCTGTCCCGCCGACCAATAGCGTAACGACTGCGCAGCACGAGACGCTGCTATCACGCGCCCCCTAGCGGCCAGGAATTGCAGTAGCGGCTTTAGATGTGTAAATGTACACAAAAGTTCCTACATTCATTTCTTGATTATTCTAACTACTGCAGATACTTGCAAAACGCTGATCGCCACTTTGCCTTATAATTGTCTTAAATGTGATTTAATTTATTAGATACCCGACAGTCTCTCACCAATAAAACATTTCCAGCATTTAAGTTGAACATAATTGCCGTAATCACCTTAATTTATCATTTAGTCTTTAAAATGTCAGAAAACAGGGAAAATCCCTCAGTGTCCCAGATTCCAAGGAGGTCTTTTTATTCCACCCACTGTCCAAAACCCAACAATATTCAATTCACATAAATAAGCAAACCATCACATTGGCAATATTAGAAATACCAATCATTGTCATTTTGCGTGATAAATGATTTAGCAATACTCAAAACTGTAGTCTTGTTAATTCTCTGTTGATTGAGTAGTTACATCAGCACTAAATGTGCATTATAATGTGTTAAAAAAAAACTAGCATTCATTTGACACCCACATTGAATTAACATTAATCCGATCATAAAGAGGTGGCTGAATTAAATCAATCAAGACTGATTTCACATAAATATTATTCTTCTTTAATGGTGAAACATACAGCTGGAATTAATAACAGAGGGTAGCATTCATAAAGGTGGCAGGAGTTCATTCGTCATTCTCAAAGTCAGCTGCGACCTTCTTCTTGCCCTGCTCATAAACACTGTTGCCCCAGGTGTATGTCAGGTACATCAAGATCATTGCTGCAACACAAAGATTATAAAACAAATCAGAACCAGGAGCATCTCTTTGTTTAATTGAGTTTAGCCACACCTGGCTGTGCAATAAAGGCCAGGCAGTCAAATATTAAAACCAATTGTTAAATATCGTATCATCCCTGCAGAGATCCTGAAACAAGGAATATTAACCACATTTTTCAAATGTAATTCAATCCCCCTATACTGAACAGACACATCTACAATAGAAAAAACAACCAAAACAAGTTTCAAGTGAATATATAGTATAACACAAAATACTTCATGTTATTATGTGCAATATTATTGAATTGTTCGGGTAAAATAGGGTTACATTTACAAGACAGGCAGTAAAGAAACATGCTGCTATCACCTCTGGGCATGTGCTTGTCATTTGCCAGTATTGTTGCATCAAACATCGTTTGCTCTTTTTGTCATCAACTACGATTTATGACTCAAACCACAGCAGACCAGACCAACTCCCAGTCACTTGTTATAATGACATTAAGAGATTTTTGCATAAATGTGATATAGGATTGTGTCAATATCATCCACTCCTACATGAAAACCAAAATTACCTTTTGCTATTCTATGTATACAACCCCATTTTAGTCTGACATGTCTAGTAGTTTAGCAAAATTGTTAAAAATAAAATGTTTTTGCCTACAATGCCATACAGACTGACACGGTGTTGTGCACAGGTCCTGCCATATATTTGAATCTAGATACCTCAAGCATACTTTTGTTTCATGTACTTGTTATTTATGATAATTCGTTTTTTAAGTTAGTGTCTCGTTGACATCATGAGATGAGTGTAAAATATTTAAATAAACAATTCTGAAGAGCATCACTACTGGATCTGAATGTAAAATACTGATATACTTAATAGAAATTTTAAAACTCACGGGGGGCAACTTTGAAGAAAGAGGTTGAGACCCTTCTCCACACATTGGGGATTCCCTTGGAGAAGTAGTTGGGGAAAGCCCTCTGCTCAAAGGGGGACAGACTGTATGTGATTATATGCCTGATCTTGGCCAAGTCTCCAAAGTGGCGGCCCATGTTTACAAGAGAGCTGACCTGAAATGACAAAAAGACATTTACTTATTCAACATTGTACTAAATGCTAATAGTCTGTGTTTACATCATGATGCTTTGTGCTCAAACATAGTCAAAGTTGATGGACAATGTTTTCCTGATGATGAATTTGTAATGTTAAGATGTCGGCCATATTATCTGCCTTTAGAATATAAAAATGGGGTTCACCGTTTGGTCCGTCTGTTTTCATACAGAACTGATAATCATCTAATAATTCTAGAAATAAAAACACGAGCTGATATATTAACGTTACCACGGGGTCCGAGTGTGACTTTCTTTGACATTGACTATTTAATAATTATCTTTGGTGAGGTACTTCTCTTAGCATGACTTGCTGGATATTATGTGATCATAAATTTGTGTTTTATACATCTCAACTTTTACTTAATGTCGTTTAAAATATTTAGTAAATTACAGTAATAATGTTATATTCATTTTACAGATGTTAATGAAAGCGTAACGCTTCTATGCATTAACTGTAAGGGAACAAATCCCAATTCAGGCAACAGATTATCTGAATACATGATTGCAAAACCACAAAACAATCATAAAGGAGATTTAAAGAGCACGAGATGAGCTCGACTGTTTAGTCGTGATCGCTAAAGGTTAGCATCGTCAGCTAACGTTAGCTGCTAAGGTCCTTGAAACGCTTCCTGGTCTGGCACGTTAAACGTAGTCGCGTTTAGTCGAAAAACAAAATACTTAGATGACTTCCACTACAACAAACCAGATAAATCCCACACAACTACGGTGATAAATGCTAATGGAGGCAAAACTACACCGTTAAAATCGTGACATTGGAGCTTACCGTGCCGTTTCAAAACAGTATCTCCTGGAAAAGTTCCGGTGTCCTTCCGTTTTATTCAGGCCTCGGGTGGTTGCTAACACGGAGGGCGTTGTCGCCCCCTGGCGGACTGGAGTTTAGTCACGATAACTGCTCCACCAAGGATTTATTCGAAGGCCTTTAAATGTACTCTGAGACCCGTTTAATCTGGGTATCAACTGGTTTGGTCCACAGTGACTGTGGTTCTTGTTGATGGTTATGATGTCATGACTATGAACCACAATCAGAGGTTGACATCAGATAAAAAGGTAAAGGCCTCAGAAAGAGTGATGGAGGCTTTTAATGTGCTTCACATCTTGGTTCATATACACTACGGTCTGCTCAGCATCTTGGCCTTATGTGGCTTTTCTTTTTAGATAAACTCAGTTTTCCGTTTGTGTCTTCCTCAGACATATCAACAGATGGGAAGATTAAGAGGGGCCGCATACACAACGATGGAGATCGAGAGTATAAAACCAAAACTTAACCACGAACTTGACAAAGAGACCGAGTTCTGACTGAGGCTGTGGATCTCCTGTGAACTGACATCCAGGTCCACATTATGGTCTTGACCATCAATGAAAACATTTCAGAAAGGTAGGAAGTATCGACACTGTTTTTCTGTAGCATTACCCACTGTCTTCTCTGATGGTCTTACCGAGAGTGGAGTCTGTGCAAAGCATAATGTGTATTTAGGACCATTTAGACTCAGGACAGAGTAAACACTCCATTGCAAGAATCTAAATCTTTCTCCTTAGTGCATAATTATTTCCCCCATGTTCAATGACCATTTACAGACAGCTGTATGCAGACAACATTTATGCATGTTATTTTTTTTATTTTTCATATTTTCCAACTTTTCAGACAATCCATCTTCATATTTCTACTTTTTTGAATATACCTAAACTGAGCACAGACACAGTGAATTCATTCTATTTGCATAAATCATGACATGCATTTAGTCGCATTCAACCACTACAATTTCATAAATCAATTCATACTTATGCAGTCACGCAGGGACCAGAAGTAATAAATACACACTGAAACCTTGACAACTTTCATTCTGGACATTATGAGGTCAGCTGCCGTTCAGACAGTTGTCTCCAATCCCCAAGAATAAAACGATATGTAAAAGGTTTGACAAGAGTTTGTGACCGCTTTTTCATCTTTTGTCCAGAACAGGGCTACTTAAAACTTGGCAATTGTGTTAAATTAAAGAATAATGACCCCCACCCAAAATAAGTTAACAAAAATAGAACTTTAAAAAAAAGCAAAAAAAAAAAAAAACATACAACACTCATTCTTGATCTTCTTCAAGTGTGTCATATTAAATACTATGTTGCAAACAGTAAGTTGAAAAATAGGATGCACTGGCGTCCTTTCTTGTCACGCCTTAACAAAAAGGAAATAAATGTCACCGTTCCACATTTCTCACAAGGATAAAATACTTTTTGTTTAAGTAAACACACTTGATTGAGTAAACACACCTGCTCCAGATCAAACTTCATGTGCAACGATTTAACAAATTCATGAAATCACTGAGCCTGGTCAGAATATCTAATACTTGGATAGATAGAGTCCACCTGTGATGACTGTTGAGGTCTGTGATGATGTTCTATTCAGCCTGTAAAAAAAGGAGAAAAAAAGCCCAGACATGTTGGCAGCTGGCTTAGCGACATGTGCATCTGGTGGCAACCATGTCTTCAAACTCCTTGTAGACATAGGAGCCATCCTCCTCAAAGATCATGACACTCAGGGGGCTGTAGTGGGAGGGAATGCACGAGGGCCTGGGCACGGAGGAGTCCAGCTTCTCGTAGATGATGTTCTGCACCATGGTATGGACAGGGGAGCCGTAGATGAAGCCCATGGTCCTCGGGCAGGCACCTCTGCAGTACCTGGGGTTGTACTTTGGTGGGAAAACAATCCAGTGATCCAGTTTGAGCTGGCTGAATCGCACCCGGAAATCATACAAGGCACAGTCGCTCGTCGGGAATTCAGAGCTGGAAAGAAGCTCCGGCAGGTGGATATCCAGAGTTTTATCGCCTCGCTTGCTCTTTGAAGATGCCCTCTTCCACCTCCTCTTTTGCCCCATCCTCTGCTCTGGTTTGAAGACCATCTGCTCGGGAAATGTGTTCACCACAGCGGCTGGCCTCTGACCTGCTTTGGCATCGACTGGGAACGTCTGGTGTGCGATTTTGCTGGTGTCATAGAGATAGAGAACCAGAAGAGGTGACCTCAGGGTGAACTTCAGTGGGACTTCGCGCCCATCACCACCGGCTCTTTGTTCCTCTGGACAGGTGACGTTGATGAGCAGGTGGACGTTCTTCTTCTGGAACTTTAAGAGAGGCCGGAGAAACGAGGTGACGTCAACCTCCACCCAGTTCCTCTTGCTCTTTGCGTCTGTGCCGACTGTGAAGTTCCCGGCGTGATGGACCCCAGGACACAGCTGACACTGGTTTGAGTGGTCCTGCTCCTCGAGACTCAAGTAGCACACAGAGCTGAGAGGTGCTGCATGGTCAAAATTGTACAGCAGGGCTGACTTCAGAAGCTGTTCTTTGCTTCTGACTTGATCAAGGTAGTAAGAAATATCCTGCATAAAGTTCCCTGAAGGAGAAAATGAGAAAACATGAAGGCACACATTACACATCAGTCACACAAATGTCCATGTGCTCATGATTACGTTACAATAATCCAGAATGAACATGTCCATTTTGTACACAAGCCTGTTTAAGTGCACAATGTCACTGATGCCTTTACAACATGACGCAGGAGTTTTAAGGGGGGAGCCTCAGGTAAAAATGACAATTTGGATCAAATCGGTCTATTTGGAGACATTTCTCTCCTTTTTTAAGTTCAAAAGCATGATTAAACCAGAGAAACTGCATAAAACAGATAATGTATTTAATACCAAATGAATCTACTTAGAATTTCATATATTGCAATCAAGTTTTACAAGAAAAAATGTCATCAATAGATTATCTGAAACTAAATTTTCACAAAGAGACAGACTTAGAAATATTTGTCCAATTTCCATGCGGTAATGAAATATTAGATATCAAGGTCATAAAACAAACAGTTGCTCTTGCCATAGGGCTGAAAATAGCATCCTCTTAATCCACCTTTAATGTTTTTGTCTGAGATTTACTCAAATCCCTTAAAAAGGGCCAAACGACAAGCAGCTTTGTTTGTGTATTGCTGTAATAAATTTCAGACTGGCACCTTAACAATATCTGATCTTATTATGACCCCACTAATGAGATGAAAACAGTTGTTGACCTTGCTTCCACTTCTGTAGCATTCCAAGTTTAAGTGCAGAGATAACCGAGACCACACTGGAATAATCAAACCTAGACCCAGACTCTCCGAATGCAAAGTTTTTGGAAACTTGATTTAGACAGAGCCCATATGCAAAACAGAGCCACATATTGAATAATGCAGGAGCCCAGTCTATATTGTTCTTAAATGGGGGAATTAACCTAAGAAATATGCAGTTAATTATATGACCAAACTATTCGAAGCACAGTGAATCTGAAGGTCTGGGACCCTTGAGCAGTAATACTGCTGCTTAACCTGCTCACCTTCATTACTTTGTGCAAGACATTCATCTTGTGGCTTGATCAGTCGGACTGTGTTGTAGATGTCGCTCCCCTCCAAACTCCTCTCCACTCGGGAGGACTTCGAGTAAACCTCCGTGAGATACTTCATGTACCTGTGCTCGGGTTTCATCTTTTTCTTCAGTCCCGGGTTCCACCTCGACCCTCCGTGCTCTGACAGGGCCTTGAGCAGCGGGGAGAAGATACTCCCGTACGGGTAGCTGAAGTCACCCAGGTTGTGCAGCGCATTCGAGGCATCCAGAGAAGCTCGGACGAGCGGGCAGCTGCAGGTGACCAGCAGCAGAAAGAAAATAGTGCGAAAATAACGAAGGACAGCTGACATCAGAATTCGTTTTTCCATGATAAATAACGAAACCAGGCAAAACTTGGAGACTCTCCACTGAGAGCTCGAGGTAAACAGGACCGCAAGCACGTGTTGCTGATCACCATGCGCAGGTGTTTGCAATCAACGCTATCACTTTATAACTTGTTCAGATTCAGTCGCGATTTCACATTCAGCAAAATTAGCAAAATGCTTTTAAATGATAGCTTAATTAAGTTGAATTAAACAGTGCTGTAGCCTATCCTGGATCCACGAATCTCATCAGATATTGAAAGTATTTTGGCACTTTAATGTAAAGCTCGAAGTAATCAGATTTAAATTAAGATTTAAAGAGCAAAATCACAAAAAGTTATTTTTAACCACATTTTAGAAGCATAGATACCAACATAAAAAATAAGGACCTTTATGGTGACAGATGTTATGCTTTTATTTTGAAGACTAACATCCGGTGCTATTTCCAGTCAATTTAACCACTTAAGTATAACGTTAGTTGTTAGTTATTTTAGTTAGAGTTGTATTAATGTCCCCTTGTATTTTACAAAGAAAACCCAATTATTTTGTCTGCTATTAAAGAAACCTGTGTTGCTATTTTGGAGATATGTTTAGAAATATGGTGAAAAATTGGTGAAAAAGAAAAGTAATAATGAGTTTCTGATTGTTGGGAGTAACTAATTAGTCTACAAATGACGTTAAAGCTAACGCTATGCTATATTAATAGCTAAACTTTACCATTACTGACATAATTTATAACTCATATTTTATATTTAGGCATCAAATATTCTATTTTATTTCTTTAGTATGACTAATGTAATTGAGTTTTGTGTTACTCAACCCTGGGAAGCTAAGTTAGATAATATGCTAATGTAAATTAACGTTAACTAGTTTGAAAATTGAAACCTGTAACAACTAACGTTAGCGGTAATGTTAACATTTAATGCGAAAGCTGCTAACTAATATTGCCATGTTGGTTTAAAGTTAATATGTAACGTTAATTTCTCCAACTTAAAGTTTAGGGAAGATAGACTTATGCATCGCTAATATAATATTATTTGTCCTAGTGTAATGATTTCAGACCAGATGTGCAAGATTGGATCACAAGAAGGTAACATAACGTTATAATGTTCGGTCTCAATTTATAGAAAATAGCTCAACACTGTTCACTCCTAAAAAATGACAGAAGCACAGCTACTGTAAAGCTGCTGACCACTGGAGGGCAGACATTACATCCACCATTTTTTCTCAAGCTCATATTACACATTATCTTTCCTAAACTGTTAACTTTTGTTCTTTGTAATCTTATAACATTTTAAACAGTTCAATATGGACAAGTTAGAATTAGGGTTACCAATATAGGCTTTCTGACCCCATGAAAATCCTGTTTGCTACCTACTTCAGTGACCATTTAAACTGTGAATACGAGCAAGCCTGCCCTGGCCTGAAATATGAAGAGCAAATAAAGGGACACAACGTTGCCCATTATCTGTAAAAATCATCGAAGATATACTAAACAGCATGTAATGTGATGTATCAAGAGGTCCTGACTCAAAATGAAGGCATATGATGAATACAGACAAAGCAATGCTCATGTTATGTAGTGGAAATAGCTGTAATTAGCCCTCATGGTGTGTCTCAGCTACACACCTACTACTACAAATCTAAATATTACACTGATTTGAACTAGCTAAATTTGTACCACAAAATTATGTACTTTTCCATTTTGTACTGACAGGAAATGATACAGACCTGGACCCTGGTAGATACACATCCATGATATTTCAGTTGCTATGCAAAGTTTTGTGGTGGGATGCAACACAATGCCGTCTACTTTGTTGAATTGTTGGTGCGAGTGCAGCTGTCCTTTGTCAGGATCATTATGCAAGCAGCGTCTTTTCCAGATAACGAGACAAAGGACACTGTTCTGGCACAGTTTTGCTTATGGCTTCATTGTCTGAGCTCCAACACTTTTCATGTCATCTGGGACTCTGCCAGGAGCAGTTAAGGACACACAGTACACAAAAAGGCAGCATTCCTGATCTGGGAAAAAGGTAATTCATTCATCAATGACAACTTGACCAATAAGATAGTTTTTAAAGGGGTTGTTAGTTTTCCCCATAAAGTTTATTTCTTTCCCATTTAAAAAAAAATACCACACCTTACAGTTTAATCTTTGGCTTCTCTTTTGCAGTTAATAGGAAATCATGGAAACACGTATATTTGGCAGAAATCTTGTCAAATCAATACTGAAATGATTGATTTGGGGCATAGCTTAGAATGACCTATTTATATATTTGTTTTACCACATTAGGTCACAGCATGAAACCCATGTTGTCCCACAAAGGGAGGCCTTGCTCCTCCATTACAGCCCAAGTTCACAAAGAGATTGATAAAGGAGACATTCCACCACCCCTCTGGTGGCCTGCTTTGCATAAGTGGCCCCCACAAAGGTCCCCTTTGCTTTTACTTCAGTTTAGAGTTACCGTAGCTTTTTCAAAAACCTTACTACTATTTTTCTACAAAGGTATCCAATGTTTTCTCTGCACCTGGTTTGCAGATAACTTTAATTTTGATGATCAGAATATCATAAACACATGATCTGCTGTGCACAAAAGCAAGAAGCATGTGACATGATTCACATCAGTGTTGATATCACATGTTTTACATGATGCAGATTTATTACACATTAGGTAAGGAATATATGTGTGAATATCAGTGATTGTTGGTGTTGTTAGTAAGAAAAATAAATTATATTCGTTCAAAATAACATATTCATTGTTAATACATGGAATTCAACTAAAGAAAGAAAAAAATATTAAATAACAAATAACATTCATCAATAGCACATCCAGCAGTGAAACACTGTAAGAGGTGCAATAAGTACTGAGAGACAAATATGTAATTCAGTTATAGACTTTAAGTGACCTAAATGGTTTACGTTGTTCTAATATTATTATAATACACAAACTAAGACAGTATTTTCTACCACAATTGTATCGTTTTCCATCTCACAGCTTCTTTTGTGATCCGTGTAATTCTCCCCCGTCATGAGCACATTTAGTTGCTGTCTTTTGTTTCTTGTGAGGCTGGAACAGTTTACTAATCGTGTTGAAGCCCTTTGAGTGCTCTCTGTGTTCATCCTCCCCTGTCTTCTCCCTGTACTTGCTCTGCTGCAGTCCTCCCAGAAGTGCTCTGACCTCCGCTGACACACCATGGCCGAGGTAATGGAAGGCCTTCTTGCCGTCATTATCTCTTTCATTTACATTCGCCCCGTAGCTTTGCACGAGCAAAACCATCACGCCACTGCGCCCGTGCATGGCTGCGATGTGTAAAGGCGTGTATCCCCCATGTGCTTTGCTGTTGACGTTCACGTAAGTGCCTCTTTTCCTGGAGACGTCCACGAGCTTGTGTACCATCTCGCTGTTGCCGGTCTTTGCAGCCCAGTGCAGCGCTGTGAAACCTGACATGAAGTCTCTCTTCTGTGCCAAGCGCGTGTCCTGCAGCAGCAAACCATAGATCTGTCCCCACAGTCCGGCTGCGCACTTTACCAACCACTCATGAGCTAATGGCTCCAGAGGTACTGACTCTGAGTACTTTGCATCATCTCTCTTGTTTTGGGGCCTGGCCAGGGGGAAACCTGTGGATTGCACGTCCTCTGACAGTCTGTTTTCCCAACACTGGGAGTCACTTTGTGACCCCTCATTGCAAGCTGGAAAGTTAGGATTCAGAGTTGGCACTTTGGTGGCCAACGTGATTGGTCTGTCCCACGTTAAATCCGGATGCACTCGGGAATGTGACCCGTCCTGTGTACCTGGTGCAGAGTCTCTCGTGGGGGATTTTACTGCTATGACGGCGAACACAGCTCCAGATGTCCTCGCTCTGCTCGCCTGATCTCCGGGGATATTCAGGACTTTAACGGTGGTCGTATCCGCACTACTACTGTCTCTTGATAACGGCCTCCTTTCCTGCATACCCCACAAAGGCTCACTATAATATATGCCATCTATGTTCGAGGCACAGTACTTGTTATTGTTCTCGATGTCAGAGTAAATCGCCCTCGCGGACTCGGCTCGAGGAGGAGATGTGTACGAAAAGCTGGTATTTTGGCTCGAGAGACTGTCGTCCATCTGCGTCTCATCATGCGCCGCCTCCTTAACAAAGTCCTGGTACCTTTTCTTCACAACCACAAACTTCACCCCGTCGATCTGCTTCACCACAGCGACGCTGTTCACCGACTTCTTGAAAAGATCCCTATTGTGCTGCTTTTCCGCGGGATCACCGCCGTTGATTTGTCTCCTGAAGTTGTTCAGCAGCTCCGAGTTCTTCACTTTGCCTCCGTGCTCCAGTAAAAAAGACAAAAGAGATTCTTGGGTCAAAGCCATTTTGTAAATATATAACAGATACTTTAGATAACGCTCGGGGGGGGGGGCTCTCTTCTCTGTCCGTGCTCCCCTCTCTGTGGTCCTCCAACCTGCTGCTTCCGGCGCCTCGCCAAATAAACTCACCCGTTCTTGTGTGTGATGTCTCTTCCCGTTAAACGCTGAGCTTTAAAAGTGGATCAATACCACAGCCGATAAAACAAAGACGAAAGACGAACTGTACATTTATTATTGTAGTTGTTTGTATGTTTACATTGAGAAATTAAAAAAAATGGCCATTGTAAAAAAAAATCAATTATACTGGAATTATACTAGAGTATATTTGTATATTATATATTGAGTTTATTTTAAACACAGAAAATTATTTTCTGTAAGGCATATCAACACTTTATTGTCATGTTGTTGTCATTTAGCCTAAAAAAAATAGTGTTTCACGTTATTAAATGATATTTTCTCAAGATAAATATTTACAGTAAGCATACATGAACTCCTTGTGCCATTTGATAATAACCAGAATCAGCTTTGTTGGCCAAGTACTTTAAAGTATCAAAAGTAAAAGTATTAATAATACTCAAGTAGTATAATGGCCCCCTGTCAGAGGGTTCTGTATATTATTAGATGAATATTACTCATGCATTACTGTCAACCTGCTGTAACTGGTATGTGAATCTAATTTTAGAAAGTTCAGTTAGTTATACATGTTGTTTGTAAAATCTTCATCTTCAAAATCAATTAATTGTCAAATACATGTAGTGGAGTATGAAATAGGGGAGAAAAATGGAGATAATCTGTTACAAACTAAGCTATTACTACAGCCCGGCCTACTACTTATATGATAAATGCTCGTTTCCTTGACAAAAGCTCTAATCTGTCGAAGTGAACACACAAACAAAAGGTATGTTACACTAAACGCTCTCAGGGTTATAAAGGCTGAACGCTTCAGCTGATGCAGTGTCGCCCTCCAGCACAGAGGGGGTGTTGCCTCCAAGTGGCCATATTGAAAGCACTGCGAGTCTGTCCGTGTGTTAACGTGGAGAGAGCAGGTCTGGATGAAGACAGATAATTCCTGCGCGCAGCCACTTCTGACGATGGCGGCCAATGATGTAGACGTTTTCGCAGTAAGTATGATGCTGTCTGGTGGCCTGCAGTGTCTCGTGGTTTGGTGTCGTCAGAGCAGAAAATGAACTAGCGTAGCATCCAGGTGTATGTGAGAGCAAGGTGATGGTAATGAGACGCGGTCCGCTGCGGCGTTGAGACGGCTTGTTATGTCTAATGACGCGGAGTAAAGACGGAGTTTCAGCTGAAAAACGATGCATCGTCGTCCCGAATGATTGCGTGCTATCCGTGGAGCCGTGCAGAGAAAGAGGCGCACTTAGGCATCCAACTGTGCGGCATAAACCCGCACGACGCGTGTGCATCAACACTTGACAGGTGTACGCGGGTGCTGAAGTGACGGGAACAAGCGGCTAAAATGAAACGCAGGACAGCAGGCAGTAAGACACGAAGTTAAGAGGATAAACATAAGCAGCAGCCTCCGAAAGTGGCAGCTATAGCTCCTCAAAATGATGTATTAGCCAAACGTGTCATTCGTGGAAATGTGTTTATTTAAAGAGCTACCATAGCCTACAGGACGTGCCTTGTATTAGGTGTACCGTTCACAGGTTGCAAATGATGGAAGACTTCGTTAAGTTGAGGTGGTGTGTTTGTCTGTGAAGGGGAGTTATGGGTACCAGCAGGGCAGCCAGCAGCTTGGATCTCCTCCCATCCCTGTGAAACATTTAGATAAAGAGCTCTTTGTGTGTGTGTGTGTGTGTGTGTGTGTGTGTGTGTGTGT